CGGCTCCCGCTGCAGCGGCGGCGGCTGCTCACAGTGGATACGGTGGTCAGAGCCACTATGGCGGCGGAGGCGGAGGAGACATGTACCATCCGATGATGTATGCTCGGCCGTACCCAGCCGTGAACTACGCGCATCCGCCGCCGATGCCGCAGCCGCATCCCGACTCCTACACTCACTTCTTCAGTGACGAGAACACTGGTAGCTGTAGTATTATGTAAAATATATCGGTGTATTTTATATTCTTAGAATCTTATGTTGTTTTATTGCTCTGTTCCTCTTTTTTTTTTGTTGGGCAGTTGAAAATTGTGCTTTTTTGCTGGTTGTTATAAAATGCCTCATTTTGATTAAAAAAAATTGTGGGTGATTAGTGCTTTCCAATATATATATGTATATATTGTTTAATTATATATATAATTTCATGTCGTATGGTTGGATAAAAAGGTATAATTGTATTATGATATTGGAATGTGCATTGAGATCATATCCAAAGATTTTTTTTTTTTGGTTTCCATTATAAGCGTAATCATCGCAATAAATTGGGGCCAACATCGATCGGGTCAAAAGTGTCGTCGTCGAGAGAGGAAAAAATGAAGATGAACTTTAATTGCATCAATAAATAGATGGTCCGACAATAATATGACGGATATATTAAATAGTGAAAGTATATATCTTATAAAAGTAGAGTTTGTAACAGGAGCATGATACGTGTACTTTTATATATAACTTTATTTATTCTCTTTAAGTTAAATCTATACATTTAAAAAAAAAATGCACATAACCGAGGGGTTAAGTTCTTCGGTGTTCGCCTCTCCAGGAGATACTCCTGACCACGCTGTCACCGGTTCATCTTCCAGACACAAGAGAAAAAAAAAGGTATTTCCACTTCCTATGAAATGAGGCATGGAACGGAGCCACTACGAATAAGTTCTGGGGGTTACGAAGGAAACTTCGAGTTCATATTGGTCATGGGTTGAGAATGGGAATTGAACTCTATGAGATCCAATCTCCCGTTTTTCCTCAGTAGCTCAGTGGTAGAGCGATCGGCTGTTAACTGATTGGTCGTAGGTTCGAATCCTACTTGGGGAGATTTGATTCATTCCGAATTAAAGAATTCAGAATGTCAGAATGAACGGGTTCGCTTTGACGGTTAAGAGTAGGTAACCCGTTCCTATATTTCATCTCCGATCTCCGATTTCTTTGAATTTTCTTTTGTTTTTGTCCATGGGGATTTCATTGCTATGATTGCGTTCAACCTGACGAAGAGTTTAATTATAGGTTGAAAATCTGGAATTAGACCTCGATCTAAAGGCAAACTATGAAGTGTGCAGTTTTTCATCATACATGTGTGTTTGAATATGGGCTTTTGAGACAATAGGAGGAGTTGTTCAATGCAACATGATAAAACCTAGCAAATGTGTTGACCATTTCTTATTATTATGTGTTTCTTCTTCCGTATGTTTTTGTTGTTTTCGGTTTGGTCTGTTAAATGAATGTTTATCACGGTGCTCTCTATGTGGGTGCTTAAACTCGAAATTATATGGCAAAGTAGATATGTTTTTTTATCCCATTAACACCATGGACAGAAGAAGAGTATAGGATGTTCTCATTGGGATTACAGAAGCTGGGAAAAGGAGATTGACATGGTATCTCCAGGAACTACGTGACCACAAGGACGCAACGCAGGTTGCAAGCCATGCTCAGAAGTATTTCATCAGGCAGTCCAATGTATCTCGAGGTAAAAGACGTTTCAGTCTTTTTGATATGGTTCCTGACGAGATTAGTTCCCTTCCTCTTACACTTTAAAAAAAAAATCAAATGACTTACCTTGGATCGCATATAATGATGACCCCATGGTGTTTTAGCTAGGTTTTCGTGATATCATTTAACTTAATAAAGATTATTTTATATACATGTATGTCGTTGTTTTGACTTTGTAGTTGTTCAACTTTGAACATTAGGAATAAAATCCAAAGAAGAAGAAAAGGTCATGATTTTTATGACAATGCCTCTGTTTGGCTTTTGCATGGCGAAGATGTATTATATCCAACAGTACATCAACATCTTCGAGTTACAACAATTTATCGTCAACAATGAGCCTCAGTTAAATTTTAATATTATTAATTTGACATTTATAAATTCTTAAAATAAATAAATTGGATTAAATTTAGAACCAGTTTGATTTCACCAAATTCAACATGAATATAAATGTTGGATTTGAGATAGATGTTGCCAAACCAATAAAATGAATAAAAAAAGAAAAATGGAAAAATAAATTATGTTTAAATGTCCAAATAAAATTATTTTCAAAATACTAATTTTTCTTTAATATCAATAATATAAGTTTTTTGGTTATTTCTTATTTGGAGATTGACAATCTTTTTTTTTTATGGAAACATAAAGTTAGACAAAATATTATAAAATTAATAGAAAAATATATCTACTTAAAAATGTCATAAAAATACATAAATTCCAATGTCACCATTAACGTTTTGATTTTTCATAAATATCGTTCAGATCTTATATAATGAATAATTTTTCAATTAACATTTAAAGTACCTTATGAGTCTGAAATAAGTCCAACAAATACCGTATAAATTGTTAAGGTTTTGATGAAGGTATTGGGAAATATCATTTTGGTCGGATAAGAACTCTTTAGGTATCACTAGATTTTTGTTTTGAAAATTTTTCAGAAACTTATCAGATCGATTCTTAAATTATATACTCTAAATAAAAGGTCAAAAATGTCAAGTCCTATTAAAATCTGGATGTATCGTTTCGTTTGAAACTCTAACTCTTTAATCGATGGTTTACGAGACGATATATGTGTCACGGGAACTAAGTCAACTGATTCATCATATAAACGAGGATGAACGTTGAAGGGTCATATTAGGGGTGGGCACGGATCGGATATCCGGGATTTATACGATATCCGTATCCGTATCCGATCCGTGCAAATATTAAAATTTATTATCCGTATCCGATCCGTAGTTTTCGGATATTCGTAATTTCGGATATCCGAAAAAACCACGGATATTTGCAAATAAGAAACATATATATATATATATATATATATATATGCAAAGCACCTCCTCCACGTAAAGTTGAGCAAAAAAGTTATGCAAAGGTAGAGTTTTTATTGATGTTTTCTTTTCAGTATAATTCAGGTTGTAATAATTTAAGGAAGAATAAAGTTGAAATTGGAGATTAACGAAACGACGTCGTAGGTACTGTGTTGGGGGGTGCAAGTGGGTAGGCGTAGTCGAGAGCGACCTGAAAGCAAGCAGAGTATGGCGGGCAAGGGCGGGGGACACGAACCCATGTCCCATATGCCTCGGACCATTTGTTAACGCCTCCTATCTCGACATTTGTTTCCGTCCGTCTCTCTCTCTCTCTCTCTCTCTCTCTCTCTCTCTCTCTCTCTCTGTGAATTTTCTGTTTGTTTCCCGAGAAACCTATCGCGAGAACCTGAGCAAAAGTCGGTTACTTTCGCTCAAAATTTTTGTCATTGGTAGAGTAATGATTGCTTGGGCGTTGTCGGGCATTTGTTCAGTTTCTTCAAAACACGAGAAAATCAGAAGTTTGGGTATTTTAGGATTCGATTAGGGTTTTTGATCCTTTCCCCTTTGGTAGGATCGAGTTTGAATAAAGCAGCTTGTCAAAGATCCCCACAGTTTGACAATTTACGTGGAGGATGTGCTTTGGATAAAGTGTCGGAACAAACTGTGATGAACATTTTCTTGATGCTAAGGAACTTTTGATCGGAATTCGTATCTGATTTGATGTTTCTATTGTGTTGCAGACAAGTTTTGTTACAGATGTATCACACAATGGGTCAAAGTGGTGAAAGGCAAGCTCTCTCAGCCTCCATCCTCTGTGAAATGTCCTCTCTGTAAGGTCTGCTTACCAAATATGTACAATTTTTTTTTTGGCAAATATCATGTTTAGGAACTTGTTTACAGATCTGCCAAAAAAAAAAAAAAAAAACTGCAGACGGAGAACTTCTCTATCATCCACAACTATAATGGTGACTCTTTTGAGCGGCACCATATCAATCAGAATATCGTACATAGGTAAATTAGTGATTTTGTTGTTTTGATTTCGTTTTCTTGCGAATAAGGATGGTAACAAAGTTCTCATGATCTTTACGGTCTTTATGCAGTTTCGTCCTCACGAAAGAACATAGATACAGGTTGCAGTGTTATTACACCGAGCCAGGTTTCACTTCCCTCTGCATTTCGACATTCCTCCTATAGTCTTTGAAAGGTTTCAACCTTTTCCTTATCCATCTTTTGGCGGTATCTTCAATCAGGTTTCTTGACGGATGTTTTTGACATTCCCCGGTTCTGGAGGATAAGGAAGTTTCTTCAGCCAAACAGGTGGCTTGAGTCTTGGTTGAAAAGAGAGCTTCAAGCTCTAATGCAGGTATTTACTCTTTTGTAACTTTGCTTATTCATTATCTCAGCTTCGGGTTTTCTTCGTGTTTGCTGATGAACTTTTCTTCCTTCTCGGTTTTTGCATAGGAGGAGAACGTAGATGTCGTCCTGCATCACTTACTTGGTGTGATCCACTCCTTCTGCAAACGGTAAAACGCCACCGGGACAGAAAGTTCTAAGAAAGTTTCTCAATTTTACATCATCGGAAGTCGTCAGAAACGATATAAGTTCTTCAGTCTCTCTGAAGGGTGCTTGAAAGTCCTGAACTTTATGCATGCCCATTCAATTTTTTCTTTCGTGTTTGACTGAAAATTTGGAAAATCTTAGTGACAAGTTAAGATTCAGTTTTTGCAAGTTTGAGGTTTTGAAATACATGTGTGTTTTCATCGCAGAACTGAACGCAGAGACAAGCAAGAAACAAGAAGTATGGGGACAGAGCAGGAAGAATTCAAGGGGGTGGTCTTGGACGCAGCGAGACCGTTCATAATGGGAAGAACAGATCGGTTTGTGGACGAGATAGAACTCTTTCTCGCATCGGGTCTGAATGTGGAGGCTTACGATGCCGTGTATATGCAACGGTTGGGATGGAACAGCCCCAGAGGAACCATTGCTGTCGAAGAAAGAGAAGAACAGAACACAAGTACAGCAGTGACGCCATACTTGTTCATCTTCGAAGAGGATGACTGACTGTGATGATGCAGACTGAGATTACTTTCCGATAAGCTTCCTGAGATTTTTTCTTCAACAGGCTCTTGAAATTTTCAGGCCATTTTGATGTATAAAATATAAATTACATTTAGAGGTGAATTTGTACTATGCGTCGGACCTGGTTCCAGCTTCTTGGGAACTCATGAGTCAGAGTGGGATATGTTTTGTAATGATTACAGACAAGGTCTTTTTAGTTGTGAGGAACACTTGCATATAAATAACAAAAAAAAAAAAATAAAAAAAAATCTACTGTGTGTAAAATAGAAAATGAACGCTGTGAAATAAAAAGAAAAACTAAGCGTGTCTCAGTACAGGAGCAGCAACAGCTCCGCCAAAACAAAGAAAAAAAAACGCTTACATTTCTCCTTTAGCATATCCATCTAGGGTTTTTGGTGGGTTCCCATCTTCTTTGCGCTTCATCGGTCGGTGCCCAGGTTAGGGTTCTTCCCATTTCTTTAGGTCTCCGATTAGAACTTGTGGGTTTTCTCCATCTGGGTGTTGTCTATCTTTCTATATGGTTCTGAATGAATGCGTCTGTTGAAAATCTTTCATGATTCGTGCTCTTTGTTAGGGGGAGAAAAAGTTCTGGACTTTTTGAGTATAAGTTCTCAAGTTTCAATATTGAATACGGAATTTAACCCTAAATCCAATCAAACTGAAAGTGAATTGGCGATTACATTCTCTTATCCTATGTGAAGCTCCTACAGACCTTTTTCTCTTCTTCTGATTCTCCCTTTTTTCTGGTGTTTTCCCGATCATCAGTGCTTTATTTGCTTGTCTTCGTTCCATTGTTAAATGGGATCTCAATATGATCGAACTGTTCTAAGAGATTTGCTTGGTCAAACGGATTTTAGAGCGGATCTTTGATGTTTTATCGGCTTGTTGGCTTTAAGCAGCCATTTTTTAGTTAGCTTTTTGGGTTTTATTTTTCTTTAGACCCAGTTCCTGTTTTTGGGTCATTGTATTTGATTCTTGTTCTTCAATCCACAGTTTGGTTCTATATCTCATTGCTATTGTCTTTGCTTCTTTTCGTTGCCAGAATCTTCGTCCATAATGGATCTACAATTCAAGAAATGACTGCTAGTTTGTGAAGTAACGTTATAGCATTACATTTATTAACTTGTCGGATACTGTTTTTTGTTCTTCGAGTTTCAGAGAGTAGAAGAAAAAAATGTTGGATATCAACCTGTTCCGGGAAGAAAAGGGTAACAACCCAGAGATTATCCGTGAATCTCAGCGCCGCCGTTTCGCCAGTGTAGAAATTGTTGATGAGATTATGAAGCTCGACAAGGAATGGCGTCAACGTAATTTTCCCCTTCCTTGCTGCTGAACATAGTTTATTATTGCACACTGATCAAGTTTATACATTTCTTGTTAATGAGTCTGGTGTGTGTATTTTTTTTCTTCTAATTTCAGGTCAATTTGAAGTAGAGAATTTCCGAAAAGAGTTCAACAAGCTCAACAAGCAAGTGGCCAAACTTAAAATCGTTAGTTTCCTTTCCCTGCTATTTATGTTGCTTATTGGATATTTCTTCTATGCCTTTTGTGGCATTTTTGTCAGAATTTTGCGAAACTTGAAAATCTAATAAGCTGAATGTGATGCATTTATATAGATATGAAACATTCACTCAGTTTTATTTGTATGAATGTCATGGTTAGCCTGTCCTTTTATATCTTGTGACTAGAATTGATGAAACTAGTAATATTACCCATGGCCATTTGAGCAGTGTACTAAGAGAAGTAATGGTTTTCTTTGGGTTTCTGGAATAGTCGGGTGGTGATGCGACTGAGCTGATTCAGCAGACAGAGAAAAACAAACAGGATTCTGTCGAGAAGGAAGCAGAAGTCCGTGAAGCTTTTGCTGCTCTGAAAGCTAAATTGGAGACAGTTGGAAATCTTGTCCATGACTCAGTTCCAATTAGTAATGATGAGGTCTGTAACAATACTATATGCCCGTCTTTTCTTTCCGTTGGGGAAACCGGGAAAGAAGGATAGACATTTTCTCTGATTCCCGATCGTTTTTTGGTTGTTGATAGGCGAACAATGCAGTAGTTAGATCGTTTGGAGAAAAACGGCTAGCTACTACTGGCCAGAAGTTAAAAAACCATGTTGAGCTTGTTGAGCTTCTCGGGATTGCTGATACCAAGAAAGGTGAGGACTTTACCATTCTATTTGCCGGATTTTACTCACCTCGGGTAGGGTTTGTGGTTTGATCATATGGGCATAGTGCAGGTTCTGAGATTGCAGGAGGTAGAGGTTTTTATCTGAAGGGAGATGGTGTTCGCCTTAACCAAGCTCTCATCAACTTTGGCCTCGACTTCTTGGAGAAGCGAGGTTTTACATGTTTGCAAACTCCCTTCTTCATGAGGAAGGAAGTTATGGCTAAGTGCGCACAATTGGCTCAGTTTGATGAGGAACTTTACAAGGTCTTTCTCTCTCTCTCTCTCTCTCTCTCTCTCTCTCTCTCTCTCTCTCTCTCTCTCTCTCTCATTGTTCTTGATTGTTGTTTTAACAGGTGACTGGTGAAGGAGATGATAAGTATCTAATTGCAACAGCCGAGCAGCCACTTTGTGCATATCACCTTGAAGACTGGATTCATCCATCAGAGCTCCCCATTAGGTATATGGAATATAAGTACAAGTTGGTGTTTTGATTTCTGATCTTGATCTTGATTCAGCTATTTACAATTGGTATCCATGGACTGATGATCATGTGTTTTCCTCTCATAGATACGCAGGTTACTCGTCTTGCTTCAGGAAAGAAGCCGGTTCTCATGGGAGAGACACACTTGGTATTTTCCGAGTTCACCAGTTTGAGAAAGTTGAACAGTTTTGCATCACCAGCCCTAATGGGAACGATTCGTGGGATATGCACGAGGAAATGATCAAGAATTCTGAGGAGTTTTATCAGGCGGTAATTTCTGATACCCTAAATTTTTTGCTCAAACATGAACTTAGGAAACCTTTTATCACATTCACATGGTAGAATTATAAATCTGAGTACTGTGTAAGCATTTCATTTCCCAGTTGGGTTCTGTTTTTTTTTTTTTTTTTTTTTTTTTTCACAACTCGTGTTTTGTTTCATGTGCAGCTGAAGCTTCCTTACCAGGTTGTGGCCATTGTTTCTGGAGCTCTGAACGATGCAGCAGCCAAAAAACTGGATTTGGAGGCATGGTTCCCTTCATCGGAGACCTACAGAGAGCTTGTCTCTTGCTCCAACTGCACTGACTACCAGGCTCGGAGACTCGAGATCAGATATGGTCAGAAAAAGGTATATATACATATATATATATCTCCATGTCTCTCCTCACAAATCAAGTTTCCCTCCATTGCCACCATCGTATTGACAAAAAAAGTAACTTTTTTTAAACTTCATTGCCATTTTTCCCTCGTGTGTTGACGATGGCAGAGCAATGAGCAAGCGAAACAGTACGTGCATCTGCTGAACTCGACTCTCACGGCAACAGAGAGGACCATCTGCTGCATCCTGGAGAACTACCAGCGGGAAGATGGCGTGGAAATCCCCGAGGTCCTGCAGCCGTTCATGGGCGGAAAGACGTTTTTACCCTTCAAGGCCAAGCCCGTTGCTGCTGCTGCGTCAGAGAGCAAAGGCAAGAAGTCGAAAGCGTGATGCGAGAATCCCTTTCACTTGCCAACACCCTTTACTCTCATTGGGTCTCACCAAATCTGGGGATAATCTTTGCTCCAATGATTTTATTTTCTTGTATTTTTTTGGAATTCAGACAAGATGTTGAATATCCATAATATTGATACTTTGCAGATTTGGGTTTTCCGGACAAGATTGATACTGTTACATGTATTCGGTTTTTTCCCTGACATCACAACTTTGGTTTGGGATTTGTTATGGAAACAGAGGATTCGAGATAGAGATCGATACACAGACAGAACAGAAATGGAAGAACTTGACAGACACAGAAATGGATGCACAAGTAGTTCCCGTCTGGACATCATTTAGCTTTCTTTTTTAGTATTTCTCCATGCAAATATGGTAACGGATTAAGAGTTAATGAAGGAAACTATGTTCCAAAATAGAAAAGTGAATGCATTTCACACGAGGATTTCCCAATAAAGCATGGAGGTTTTGTTCCATGGAACATGTTTTTTTTCCCGGCTTTTTGGCATCACAGCGGTTTGATTCTGCACAGACATTGTGACATTATTACACCAAAACCCATTTTATTCTACATCGCAACCTATATAACAAAGCAAAGATCTCTCTACTCCCAGAAATCTCAATCCGGCTAGTATAAATTTAATGTGCTCTACACCAAATCCAAATCCAAACCCAAAATCCTGTTGAGAAACATTGATGATGACAGTTGCCTCTTGCTGTAAACTGAGATCTTGGCTCTGAATCATTAGCAGAGAATAGTCTTGCCTGGACGTTTCAGACGGGCGATGCGGATTTTGCAAGAATCATGCACTTTTCAACCTACCCTTTGTGAGGAACAGAGTTCTTCGGATAGCTAGAATCAGAATCCATGTGGTTGCAGTGATTTTCTCCTTGATCATCAGTAAAAGGGCGGAGCTTAGAACCGTCTTCAGAATCTGAGCCTGCAATCCCTTGAAAAAACCCGAGAGCCCTTCTTTTCTCCAGATGGCATATACCACTCCAGGGATTGTTTTCTGGGTCCTTCTCCGAGGTTTCTTGGCTTCGTTTTCCTTTGGTTCATCAGCAGCAGCTTGGATCATCACCTTGCACCTGCAGAACAACAGCTTTATATTTAAGTGACTACGGCAATTTATCTGATATGGTTTCTTCAATCAATCCATTCCCACAAATATCCAGGTGAACTTGATTCAGATAACCTACACTTGGGTAATCTCGCCTTTAATACCTGATCGCGGGATATGTGATGATGGTGGCCATACTTTTGGAGACCGCACCTAACACGAATGCCATGAACGCAGAAAGAACTTCTGGAGAAGAACCAGTCTGGGCTTTTGCCTTTGCTTGTTTAAGGAGGCGCTGTTTCAGCTGATCAAAGACTGTATACTACAAGAAAAGTTTATTTATAGTTCAGCCAGTCAAGTTATACTCCAGATAACATATACAGGGAATCAATGGAAACTCGACTGAGGTGAAACAAGACAAGTTCGAGGTTTATTATGAAAATAGTACCTGAATTGCAGGATTCGAGGTCAGTAAGAGAGAGATTCCAAGGCCGTCAAATGCACCTCCCCAAGAACCCTCTGTTAGGGTCTTCCAAAGCCCTTTAGATTTTCCAAACTCGCTGGTTTGCATCCTTGATGAAGCTGTGTCTAGAGGCTGAACAAACATGACATGACCCAAGGTTACTGCTCACACATCGAAAACGAGGCTGCAATGAGAAGATGGAACATAAAATAGAAAACAAGTCCTGCATTTTCCGTTCCGACAGCAGAATGGAATCTCAACTTTGTAGAAAAAAATTGAAACCAAACACTCAAATAGAAACACAGTTAATTGGAAGATGGGAGCCAGCCAGTGGACGAACCTGGGTGATGATGGAGGTACAAGCCCCTGCAGCAGCAGCAATAAGCAAATTCGCCTTAGTTCCAATTGATTTCGAACCAGTCCTTTCAGCATATAACCTTTTGAAATAGCTATAGCCATAGAAATAGATGAACTGCGAAATGAAGGACTGCAAATTCTTAGTCCCTAGCCCTTGGTACAGCGAGGCAACCTGTCCTGTAGAAATTGCTTCCCACAAGACATCTGAGAGGTATCTGACATGTAACAATAAAACATAAGAGATCAAGGGGGATGAGTAGTCTTGTCTTAGATCGATTAAAAAGACTTAACTTCACTATCCAAGAAACTCTCTCATTACCATGGTGAATGCATTCATATACAAATTTAGACATGGATTAGAATCAGGATTTGCAGATAACTTACGGATTTCAATAAACCCATCCGCAGATCGTAAATAAATCTGATGGAAGAGCATATGTATGTATGAGAAACATTAAAAAGTCCCCAATTATGGATAATACAGACTTCAGACTCACGAGCAGAGATATCAAAAAGTCGCAGCTTTTACTGTTTGTTCATTGTACAATCTCAGAAAGTAGTATATTTCTGACTGCAGCTTTCTTTATCGAATCAGATGACAAATAATAGAGCTGCTCAACCCCAATGATCCCATCGTTAAAAAGGGCCGAAATTCGTTTTTTTTTGTTTGCTCGATCGCTTACAGGACACGATTAAAGGATAAATTTCGACGAAGACTAGAAACGTTTTCAGCAGAAACCGAGATCCTCCGTCAGGCGAAAATCCTGAATTCTTTCGTTGTCTTAAAGAAAATCGTCGGGACAGAAGACAAACGCACAATTCAAATGCAACAATAGCGATCATCATCAGGACACGATCAAAGTGAAAAAGACCATACGGAATATGCCCAGATCAAAAGACGACAAAACACAGACGAAAGCTGGAAAACCCCGCCAAATCAAGCCGAGAAAAAGAGGGAAAACCTGTATTTCTGCTGACCACGAGCTCGAATTTCGGCTTGGTACTTGGATTTACACGTATCGAGAGGGTATAAGATCGTCGTGCTCAGAAGCGAACCTATGGCCCCCGATGTCGCCTCCGACAAAGATTCCAGATCAACACCCATGTCTCTCCGATCGAGCGAGCGAGCGAGCGAGAGAGAGAGATTTTTATCGAGGATTCAGCTGGGACTGGCTCGTCTCGGGGTTTTAAACAGCCGCGCGACGACGTTAGTGGATGTTGACGGCGTTAACTTCCGCGTTAGATTTGGATGTGGTGTGGTGTCCCAATCCTACTCGGAGAAAAAGCACCCAAAAATTATGAAACACTAAAAAAAATGTGACTCGCGTGGTATTTTCGGTACTTCCGCCCGTCAAATGCAAAACTTTAACGCCGTCAACTTTGTTTTTTTAATTTAGTCATTGAATGAATCCTAATTAATAACAATTCATTTAGAGTCTCAAAAAAAAAATAAAATGTTACAATAAAAACAGATATATTGCTTGCTTTATTTGAATGAATTCTAGTTTGTCTTTTCAACCTAAAAAAAAAATTCTAATTTCTAGTTTGTCCTTTTTTGTGTGACGTGGCAACGGCATTCCCCCTGCGGAGACGTGTTAACGGCGTCAAGTGTTCACATGGAGAGTTCATTATTTTCTTTATAACACGAAAACGACATCGTTTTGAGCGGTGCATTTGCGCTTGCAAACGTGACACTTAACAGTTACACAACACTAAAACGACGTCGCTGACGTTTTAAACAATTACAAACGGTATACGGCCCATTAACCTTTTTGTAGGCCCAATTTCGTAGCCCTTAATTTGCAGATAATACACCGTACAGGTAGAAGAAAACCCGTTTTCCGTATCCTAAGTATGGTAAGTAATCACGAATTTCATCGAATAACAATACGACTTGATATAATGCATGGTTATAACTTCGATTATTTATATGTTTAAGATATTATACACACATATAGATGCATAATTTATAAATAATATTCTTAAAAAACGAAATCACATCTATGAAATATCACTTTTGGATTTTAATACTCGAATAAATAAATATAGTTTATTAAGACATCTAAATAAATTCTGGTTTGAATAGTAAAATAATGCGTTGATATCTTTTGACGAAACAAATAATTCAGAGGAGCCCTTCGAGTTTTCGTTACCAATCAGAAAGCGACACGTAGGAAGCTGAGGTGGATGAAGAAGATTCCTATTCTCGTTTTTTATTTAAAGAAAAAAATGTATGCGTTTGGAAGGAAACATGAGATTCCTTTTTACGCAAATGCCACTGTGATAAATAAGTGAATAAAATCACTACAGATGCAAGTGAAAATGCGAAAGCACCTTCTTCCGCCTTCGCTTCAAGCCACCATTTCATATTCATAACCCCCAATTCCTAGGGTTTTTCTGGAGCCCCTTCGAGTTTCAAGCTCCTGTTTACCTTAGGGTACTTTTCCCCCTTTTCTATGTTTGATCTTTGATCTTTGTTGGAATCCGGGTTCGTTTCCTTCTCGTCGTTCTACTGTTTCTTTGTCGTTTGATTCTGAAAAAGTATCCAAGTTCGTTGAGATTGTTTAATATTTGATTTTCCAGTGATTCTCTTTCTGATTTCTTTAATCTTCTTCTCAAGTTGCAGTCTTTCGTCTTGAGCTCATCAATCTTGTTATTACACATACCCATGTTGAAATGGATTGGAATGGGATTCTGGGCATGATGCTTGTTTGTCCCTGAAATGTTTGGTGCTTTTGCAGCTTGCGATGGCTAAATCTTCGGCTGGAGGCGGTGGTATCCCTGGCTCGCCGACCGCCGTGCGGATTGTTGTGGCTGGTGAAAAGGGTACTGGAAAATCTAGCTTGATTGTTGCTGCAGCCACTGATACTTTCCCTCCTAATGTCCCTCCCGTTCTTCCCGATACAAAGTTGCCGCCTGAGTTTTTCCCTGATCGCATTCCAATCACCATCGTTGACACTTCCTCTAGGTATATCTCCCGGTTTTAACTATTGACTTGATTTATAAACTGGAAATTCTAGAGAAGCTAGAAAGTTTACGGGCAAAGAAAAAAATTCCGAAAGTAGGTATCTTGGCTATCTGATGTTATTGCTTAGACTATGGATAAATGGAACATAGACAACTCAATCAATACTTACTTTTCTCCTGATGTTTCTTGGGTTCCTTCTGGAGGGTTTTGATGTTATTTTTAATCAATTCAGACGTGAAGACAGAGGCAAGCTAGCCGAAGAACTGAAGCAGGCTGATGCAGTTGTTTTGACATATGCATGCGATCGGCCTGAGACTCTTGATCGGTTGAGTGAATACTGGCTTCCAGAGCTTCGGCAGTTAGAGGTTCATTCTCTTTGTCTCGGTTAATTAATTTTGAATTTTGTTAATGTACAGTTTGTCGTAAGAAAAGGATGTGCCAATTTCTGCTCTTATCTGTTTGATTATGTAATTGTCATTGAACAAAATGAGCTTCTCCTTGCATTCTTGTCAATGTTGTTAGCGTTGACTTTATTTGCTGCTGAATAGGTGAAGGTTCCTATTATAGTAGCAGGGTGTAAGCTTGACTTGAGAGATGACACCAATCAGGTTAGCCTCGAACAAGTGATGTCCCCAATAATGCAACAGTTCCGGGAGATTGAGACTTGCATCGAGTGCTCTGCACAAAAATTAATCCAGGTCCCATTCCTTCCTTCATGTTATTTCTCAGATGGATAGTGGTTGTCTTAGCTAAACATTTCAAATTTACTGGTTTCATGCTATGTTTTTATCTAGATATTTGTCTTTTTAGGCATTTGAAGGAGATTTCATCTGTAAAACTTTCCCAGAAGTTAACTCTTTGTAATAATTGGAGTGGACTTTCAACAGGAATGGATGAACCGTAGCTACTTGATCCAACATTTAAATTTGAGGATTATGTACCGTAACACAGTTCTAGACTATCACCCTAATCACAAAAACGAAAAATTCTCTGTAGGCCCATGAAGTTTTCTACTACGCCCAGAAAGCGGTTCTTCACCCCACAGGACCTCTATTTGATCAAGAAACCCAGTCTCTAAAACCCCGGTGTGTTAGAGCCTTGAAGCGTATATTTATTCTCTGTGACCATGACAGAGATGGTGCTCTCAGCGATGCTGAACTGAATGATTTTCAGGTTCCCCTTTTCTTCTTGTTTTCCCATTCTTGTGTTTAATTTGCATTTGCTGCTTATTTAGCTCGGCTTGTTCTTCCGTGTCTTGAAAGAAGCTTATTTTTTTTTTCGAAACAGGTCAAATGTTTCAATGCACCATTGCAGCCTTCTGAAATCGAAGGTGTTAAGAGGGTTGTGCAAGACAAATTGCCCGAAGGAGTGAACGAGAGAGGACTGACATTGACCGGTTTTCTGTTTCTTCACGCACTTTTTATTGAGAAAGGGAGGCTTGAGACAACCTGGACTGTACTGAGGAAATTTGGGTATAATAATGACATAAGACTTGCGGATGAATTGATTCCTTATTCAGCTTTCAAGTGTGCTCCTGATCAGGTAACTTGCATAAATAGAATTCATTTTGAACTCCTGGGATGAGTTCTATGCTGAATTTTGTTCTAGATCTGTTCAGAGACGAATATTTTGAACCTTAAACTGTTGGAAAGCACTGAGCTGTACAGAAGATGGATCTGCGAGACATTAAAATCTGAATTTTTCCCATCTTTTCAGAAGTTGTATCAATTTGTCTTTCTTGGAATTCTGCAAAAGAAAAGGCTTCTATCAATTGTTCTTTTGGTTTTTCGTTGTGTAGAGTGTTGAGCTGACAAATGTGGCTATTGAATTCCTGAGGGGAATCTATGACTTGTTTGACGGTAGCAGTGTAAGTCATCCTCCTCTATATGATGTTAGGCTTTATTTACAGATTCGATAGTTCTGACCATTGGAGTTGTTTTCCTCAGGAAAATAACCTGATGCCTCAGGAGATCGAGGATCTATTTTCGACTGCACCTGAGAGGTACTTTTCCCCACCCCAGAAGAGGAAGAACTTGTAATTGTGATTTATTTATTTTATTCTTCATAGCGCTGTTATAATATAATTTTTAAATTGCAGTCCTTGGAAAGAAGCTCCTTATGATGCTGCTGCGGAGAAAACGGCCATTGGAGGATTCTCTGTTGATGCTTTTCTATCATTGGTACTGAATAGTGAATACTCTCAGTTTCACACATGTTTGGATTAGAGGAGACATCTCCCATGCGTGTAGATGCATGTACTCCCCATTCTTGCCTTGCTTTTTCTTTGTCTTTGCTAAGTGTTGATTAACGTATCAAGATGGCGTGAATTTTTTTTATATTAGGCATGGAGTGTGTTAAATGTCTGCTTATTTATTTGTAACTTAGCATAGGATTTCTTTTCATTGGGTTTCGATGGCAGGTATTTCGGGTTTGATAGTAAGTGGTTTTCTTGTACCTTAGTGAGGTTTTAAATCATTTGGAGAGTTTCTAATCTTTGAAAGTTTATTCATCTTTGCAGTGGTCACTGATGACACTTTTAGACCCAGCTCGGAGTGTGGAATATTTGATGTACATTGGATTCCCAGCTGATCCTTCGTCTGCCATCCATGTTACTAGGAGAAGACACGTAGATCGCAAGAAGCAACAGTCAGAAAGAAAAGTTTTCCAGTGCTTCGTTTTTGGACCTGAGAATGCAGGGAAATCTGCATTACTGAACTGCTTTCTTGGAAGGTCTGTCACTTGGGTTTACAACGGAGATCACAGAAGAAAACGTTACTCTATTTTGTTGATACATGTATTTTCTCGCAGGGAAACTTTTTCTTTTGGGGCTGCGTAGACGTCTGAATTCAAAAGGGGGGGGGGGGAGGG